CCAACATCTCTGCACACATACAGTCAATGCCACAGCCTGGCATGGGAAGAGCCAGCCCACTACAATAGACCTTTGTTGTGCCTGCGATTCAAGGAATTGTTTTGAAAATCTGTATTAAAGATTTCTGTCCTACCACCCCGCACTTTCGACTCAATTACTAAAAAGAATATGTTTTCTAAGCATGAAACAATATCATTTTTGTGGAGAGTTTGGAAAGGGAGCGTTTCTCTGAATCGAAGAAAGGTCCCTTTCTCTTGCCTGGTTTTGGGGGAAAGGGCTTTCTGTGTGAGTAATCTTTCTAAGTAGGAAGCAGAGCTCCCCCATTGCTAGGGAAGAATGGACCTCCAGTGGGCTAATATGTGATGGATGACTGAATGCAAACTTGGCAACCTTGTCCCCCGCTGCCCAAAGAATACAAAATGCCACGGGCTATTCGTGCCCCGGGACGCTCCGGTTGGAGGTTCTGAAAACTTGGCAGCATCCCACCTTGGTTTAATTGAAACTACAGACAATTAAGGATGCGAATCCGGAGAGGTTCCCTGTGACAAGATCAGCTCAGGATGGATTTGTCTTGGGTGGTTCGCTCATGCAGAAGCCAAACGAAATCAGAAATGGAGAGTTATGCCCATTGACTCCATGAGCTGAGCAGCAAAACCTCACACTGGTTTGTCAGGGGTATGCTATGGGATGTAATTTATGTGTTTATATTAACTAGTATTCTTTAAATTCTACACCTGGATATCTATAGGTGGGGTGTTTTTTGCTGTTGTTTTGCCAGCAACAGGATAGACAGGATATAAGAGAGAGAGAAAAACAATACATAAAGAAACCCAGAATGTGTTATAGGAGGGCCATGCCTAGCTGTAAGGGCACATATTCATTCAGTGTTCAAAAGAGACATCAGGTTATCCAAGCTTCCTTCTCCCAGTGCCCAAACTCTTTCTGCAGGATCAAGAGCCATCCCTTGTCAGGCAGGATCCCTCCCTGGCTCCTCCTCCCAGCCTGCCCGTTCCACGCTGCTCAGTTACATCAGCCATTGAGGGATTTCAGAAGGATTTCAGGAGCTGGAAGAATGCCCAGTTTCTAACTTTTCCCACATGTGGAAGGTATTTAACTTCAGCTCAGACTGGACTGAGGTTGGACACACGAGTGGACAGTGAGCACTGAGTGAGGGGAGGTTTCACACTTGGACAAACCCCAGAGCTCAGTGGAAACCGCGACGGCTCAAAATTGTCTCTTGGGGTTGTTCATTCTTCTGCTTCTTCCTTCTTTTTTCTCTCCACTGTACAAAGAACTTTTTTTGAGCAGCTAATAATAGCAATTGTAAGCTCTTTGTGACAGAGAGCATCACTTATTATGTCTAAACTTCTCCTAATACAACTAAGCCCTAAAATGCCACAGCAATAGTTACATCAACATCTCATAAACCCCTGCACAGACCAACCAAAGCCATAGACAGCAAGGCCACCTTGATAGCAAGCAGTTTAATTAATTAAATTGCATATTCATTCATAAGTAATCTGTACACATGCCTTATTTGTCAGCTCCTGAGCTCAAGTTATGATGTTTTCTGCCCAGAGCTCATTAGTAACTAGTCCTACAATTGCACTACTTTTGCAATTTCTGAGCCTGGGTGAGGATCAAACACTTACTCAACTTAATTCCCTCTGATTACTGTTTTCCTTAGTTTCCTGCTTCAGCAACAATGATTCTTCTGCAAAATTACATCAGCAAATTCCTTAAAACAACCAAGGGGAGCTATTACATTTTACAGTAGTTTCAGACTCCTGTAGTTTATAACCACAGGGTTTGGTACAGAGATCAGTCTTTGAGAAGGGTGTGCTAAACTCACCCCAGAAATTAAGTCTGAGAAAGTGCCTGTTGGTAAATCAGAGCCCAGTTTTAAAGCCCCATATCTCAAACTGCCACTGTTCAAAACAAATCCCTTTTTATTACTGGAAAGCTGAGATTTCTAACTTTCCAGTGATGTAAATCAGCCATTCCTAAGCCTCAAGTTTTATGAGCCACTGGACCTTAAAAGTGTCAATGGCCCCTCAGCTCAGCAGACTGTGATGGCACCTGTCCAAGGCTGAATATATCAACCCACAGGCTTCAAATCAGAGCCTTTTTTTCAACCAATCTGAATTTCTTGTGTTTCAATATATGTCCCAGAGTTAGGACAGGTGACAATGAAGCAGACACCACCCTTCCTCCATTTAGGCTTATTTCCAAATTCAGTGTTCAAGCACAGACACCAGCGTTCCCCAGGGGAAATATCCAACTGAATGGAAGCTGTTTCTCCCTTACAGGACATCCATTTACAGCAGACACCCCTCATACAGCCCAGAACTGCCCAAGCAGGTCTACTTTTTCAAATTATTTTACCAGCAGAGATGAAAAGGTTAAAATTCTGGGTTCAAACATCACTGTTTCACTGCACATTTGCATTTTGGTTCTGCTTCTCTCTTGAAAAGGATGAAAAAGTCCCGAGAAGAACAGGCTCTGCCATTTAATCTCATTTTCTTATCAAGAAGTGAAACAATACTCAAGAACAAACTTTGACAGTCTCTCTATAGCAAGTCAGAACACCTTGATACATGAATAGACTTTGGCTTTTTTTAGATGCTTTATGAAAAGAAGTAATATGAAAAACAAGCCACCTGAGCTGAACGTCAAACACCTTTAGAAATGCTGTTATGGCAACACGATAGTTAAGTTTAAGTGAATGCTGAGGAGAAATGCTAATGCTAAAAAAAGAGAATAGATTTCCATTAACAAAAAGTCTCCAGTTAAGTTTTAGCTGGAGTCTAAAGTCTCCAGCTAAGCACGTTTTAGGTTGTGCTTAGGGATATTCCCAGTAAGTTTGAGCACCTTTAGGCATCATTATTTCAACAGGAGATTTGCGTCTGGTTGATTCTCTCTCCCTATGACCACCATGTACCTAAAAGAGATTTCTTTAGCAGAATTTCTGCTTCCTCTCCAGCTGAGACATGACATTCTCATCTGCAGGCTGGGGGCTTTTCAGCAAATCCCTTTGGCTCTTCCACGGCTTTGGAAATGCTGATAGAGTAACTGTAGTTAGAGGATTAAGGACTGGAACTTGCAAAGAATTTTTTTCTGGGCTGAAAGGAGCCAGAGGATAAAATTAATGAGGAAAAAATATGGCAAAAATATTGCCAATTTTGCTGTTTAAGGATAGTGAGTGTGACAGGTCAGTGAGGGGGGCAGGCAGTGCCTCTCACTCTGCCCCTTCCCTCCTGCTGTCCCTGCCCAGCTCAGGTGAACATCCTTCCCTGGGTACCTGGGCACAGGTGCAGCACCTGCACTGGGAACACCCTGATAACTCTTCCAGCCCCTCTCCAAATTCACTCCCAGAGAAGGTGAACTGCCCACAGACCAATTCTCTTCCTTTGGCTAAACAGTGTCATTTGATAAAACCCATTTGATTGGATTTGCTCCTGAGCTCCCTGTAGCAGTAAGGAACACCACAACGCATTTCTACAAGAGTTCCAAGGGTTCAAAGGGCTGTCACTGGTCCCAACTCATTCTCAGACCTTAAAACTGTGCAGCCTGCTGTAGTGGAAGGTGTCCCTGCCCACGGCAGGGGGTTGGAGCTGGATGAACTCTAAGGTCCCTTCCAACCCAAACCATTCTATGATTTCACAAATCACAGAGAAAAGTGTTTAAAATTAAGTCTCACAAATCAAGAGAAACGTCTCTAAAAGACAAAAGCATAACCCCAGCACAAAAAGACTAACCCCACAAATAACATTAATCAGGAGGTGTGTAAAATGAATGCCCTATGTGATTAAAAAAAAAATATAAAAATAACTGGGAGAGAAAACCAAACACAACAGCTGGACAATATGGCTTTTACCCGGTCAATAGAATCACATGCACCTCACTGGTTTATAATTTTTTATGAAGAAAAATTTGATAAGTGTCTCTATTATGCTTTGTAATTTTACAGTGTCTCCACTGGCCAAGAGGACACGTCACCATCATTTCAACGTGAACTTATCACTCTGCTCCACAGCACGACAGAGACTTTACAGAAGTTTAGAGTAACTGCCAAAAACTCTCTCTCCTGGTAGCCAGGAGAGGAAATCAGGCAGGGGAAACTCTGCAAAGGTGATGGAACACACAGTCTTCAGTAAGTGGGCTTAACTGCTGAACGAATCTAAGCATGCTCACCTTCTCCCAGTCAGTTCTCCTTTTTAAGCCAATTTGAGCCTGAGTGGTAAGTGCAGACACAGTCATGCAGAAAATCTCAGAGCACCGGGGAGCAAGTAGCCAAGACATAAAGTAAGGGTCTGTTTTTCCACGATGATGGGGAATTTCACCCTCCTGCTCTCAGAACCCACCCGTTAAAGTACCGGCAATAAGGTACCAGCTGAATCTTCCTTTGTCTTTTGCTCCCCACCGCGGGCTGATGTTACCGGAGTTTTCAAAGGAACTGGAGCCCCGTGGGGGGTGGGGAGGAAGGTGACAAAGGCTTCGGTGAAAAGGAGTGTGCAGAGAGTAAATTAACACAGAAAAGTGTTACTTTTTGTGACTTACCCTGTCACAAAGAGCTCAGCAAGAAGAGTTACCTGGGAGGGTGAAGACCTGCACGTGGGCTTCGTCTGGTTCATGAAGTGAGGATGGGGGAAATATTTCTATCACTCCAGCAGCCAAGAGGAAACCCCAAATCTGCTTTTCTACCCTTCCTGTCAATTAAGTTTCCGTCCGTATTTCTGTGGATGTCCAGCACTGAACTAACTCCTGTTCCATTCATTCATTGGGTCAGACTGGGACATTTCTGACATTATTACACCGGGCAATAAAGACAAACTCAAAGGCAGGCGTGCTCCCCTTCCAAACCATTCCCTGATAGGATCTGATGAGGGTCATCACAGAACACTGGCTCACTGGGGGAGAAGAGCTCCTGAATTTTTATTTTTTTTTATTTTCTTTCTTTTTTTTTTTTTTTTTTAAATTCAGGAAGGAAGCAGACTTACCTTCCAGCCTCTGCCAGAGCTTAGATCCCGCTGGGAGCAGTCTCCATGAAATAAATAAGATGTTCAGTCAGCTCCCAGCTCCCAGCTCCGTTGCCGTCCTGTCAAAACTCAGCGAAGTTGCGTTGTCCGATGCCGCGGGTGAGCGTGTGAACCCCGGAGAGCTTTGACAGCAAGGCAAACTGGTCACATCAACCCGATTTCTGCCGGGTTTATATAGCTGAGCTGCAAATCCTGATCCTTGGCTCGTTCCACTGTAATAGGACGCCTGAAGGCATTTTTTTTTTTTTCTTCCCCCCTCAGTGTTGCTTTAAAGGAACAGCCTCTCGCTTTGGCTTTGCTTGTGAAAGACGCACACGCACCCTCCCAGACACACGCTGTCATACACAGCACACACACACACACACACACACAAAGAATTGGCATGCAATTTATGGCTAAAGAAGGAAACCCCTGAGCCAGTCAAAGAGAAAGGCAGCTCGGGGCAAGTGACTCAGAAAGCAGAATATTTTCCTTACAGCATCAGCAGAGCGCATTAGCGGGAGTTTTAATCCCCCTCATCCCTCGTCACTATTTTAGCGTTGTGAAATAGTGGCAAACTTACATCAAATCGGGGGAATCACAGGCAGGGTTGAAATTCTAGTAACTCCTACACAAATTAATGTGTTACATTTCAAGTACAGGTTTTGGTTAAGTTGGTGCAAATTGACCCCACTTCGCTGGAATCAGCTGAAAAATTCAGATTTAAACAAACACAGGATCTGGTATATTCCCATCTTTTCAAGCCTGTGATCTCCTTTGCATCCTTTTTCGCTCCACAGGGAGAAGAGTGGAGAAATCAAGAGAAATCTCTGGTGAGCAGAGTTGTAGCCTGAGCCTTTATAAAAAAAAAAAAAAAAAAAAGAAAAAAAAAGAAAAAGGAGAGATAAAAGCCTGAAGGGAACACACAGGAGGGATTCCCTTTCTTCTCAGATCTGATAAAAAAAGAGATTACTTGGCTGTCTGCATGCAAAGATAACCCAACACTTTTGTGAGGCTCCTGGTTTCCCTGCTCCCCATCCCGGAGCTATCAGTGACACACAGAGAGCTCAGCTGGGACCTTGGCAGGGCTCTTTGTTGTCTCTGAATACCCTTGAACCTCAGGCTTGTGGCAAAAAGAAAAGATCACAGTTAAGGAGTTCTCATTAACAAGGGTTTCCCTCCTACCTGACACTAAAAACCTGCCTCTCCCTTGCCTAAACCTCACTGCTGGGTTTCCTTTGAGGTTTCTTAGTTGTGGGGTGGGTGGCACGGGGTGGGGGGGAGAGAGGAAGACTAATCGTTAACTTTCAGGTCTATCTTCTAGGTAAAGGATGGAATTGCTTTTGGGTTGGATGATTTAGAAAGCCAGGTTTCCCCAGCCAGCTTTGAGGACAATGGAAACACAACCCCACTACTCCTGGGAATCCTTCTCAGGAGCAAAGATGTTCATAAGGATAAAAACTGATTGCCTGGGCCTTTGGGATCATTCATTCTGAATGAATCTCCTCCCAGCTGGCCTTTCCCAGGCTCCAGGGGCTCACACATCACTTTATGAGGGAATGGCACAAAACTACGTCAGGTTGGATCTCGGGAAAAAGTTCTTCCCCCAAAGGGTGGCTGGCACAGCCCCAAAGCTGCCAGAGCTCCAGGAGCATTTGGACAACAATTCTTGGATTGTTGGGGTGTCCTGGCAGGGCCAGGAATTGGATTTGATGATCCTTGTGCATCCCTTCCAGCTCAGGGTATTCTCTGATTCCATGGTTCAGGATTTTTCCCTTTTTTTCTGCTTCACAAGCACAGCACTACCAGGAAGGTTCGGCCCATCCTACACATTCAGAAAAGGATGGGGGGAGGGGGGGGAATTCCTGGCCCTGAAATTCTGACTCACCGTTTCAGAATCACTTTTTTTGGAGACCATTTTGCTGTGGCTTTCATTTATAACACTGACCCCATGTGTGTATTCTCTTCTGTTCAGCAGTATCTCTGAGCTCACACCAAGCTCCCTCCCTCAGCACATGGCACGGATTTCAGTTCTTTCCAAATATGAACGCTCCAATTTCTGTGTAATTTTTTGCCCTGCTGTGTTTCATAACATTCATGCCCTGAGAGAAGAAATGAGCCTGTGCTGGAGAGAGGGTCAGAAATGTTTCCTTATTCCTGGTAAAGGCTTTGGACCCTCTTGGATTGCTGGTTTCTTACAAGGACATCTTGTTCCCGACATCTCCACCGCTCTCACGTGTAATGGGATTATGGAATGGAGTCATGAGTAAGTCTTCAAATTTTTGTGTGTAATTCTCAGAATATTCTCCAGCTGGTCCTGTGTTCCCTCTGCCCCAGTTCTGCAGTGCTGGGAAATAACCCCGGGATGGTTTGATCCCACACGGACCATTCACTGAAGAGTTGGACTCGATGATCCTTGTGGGTCTCTTCCAACTCAGAATGTTCTGTGATTTAGGGATGATTTAAAATTCAATTAAATATGTACTCGAGGCCCAAACCTGCACGTGAGGTGTAACGCAACTTTTCTAATAAAAGCAGAATGGGACTCAGGAAAAGACAGTTCCTCATCCTGTAGTTCTTTCACAAACAATTGTGAAACGCTGAATTTCGTTGTCCACACAGATGAATCTACACAAAACACACGAGTGACACTGTGAAGAGCAGCCTGTGGGGTTTATTTTGGGAGCATTTGCTAACACCAACTTTTCTGCCAAATCTTTCCTGCCAGCAGTTGCTGAATCGAAATTCAAACGAATTTTTTTCTCCAATAATTCTCCACCCACTTACCTGCCTTAAAAAAAAAAAGAAAATATGCCATAGGATATTCAGGTAAGAGTTCAGGCCTGTTCTTGTTTTTCCTTTTGGGGCTCACCCATCCTTAATCATTGTCTGTTGCAAACATTGAACCATACACTGAGTCAGAAGCAAATGGTGACATGAAAGAACAGGGAAAATGTATTTTAATCAGACAGATGGCTTCAGGTTGTGATCTCTAACAAGCAGGACCAGAACTGGATTCTGTGCCCTGTGGTGCTCTCTTTCATTAGATAAATGTGGATAGCAATTGATTTTTTTTTTTTTTTTTAAATGAAAGGAACAGGGGAAAATTGAACACTGAGCTTCATATGCTGGAGTTTATTGCTTTGGCTTTCTGGGCTTGCAAACCACTGTAAGAGATGAAATTTAGAGATGTAGAGAAGACCAGAGCAGATAAATAATTTAAGGAATATATTGATATTTATGAAAGCCCAAAAGAGACCAATTAAATAAATATTATTAAATATTAACTAAACATTATTGAAATGCAAAAATATGCTGATTATTACAAAATTGTTACAACACAGGTAATTAGACTTAGTTCCAATTTAGTATCTTTGCTGGTTCACCCAGTCCTAGGAGTAATCTCCTTTGAAGCAGCATATTTGAGAGTGAAAGCTGCCCTGAATGTGAATTAACACTGTTGGTGGAGCCTGAGGAGTCTCTTGCCATGCACAGAGCGCAGCCAATTTTGATAAGCAGCAGATGGGAATGCAGGGAGCCACTGGAATACAACATCTGAAACAGCAATACTGCTCTGGAGCAGGGAAACACGTACCTGACTTGGACAATTTTAGCAGTTTTTACAGGGCTGATCCTTAAGGAGACTTTAAAGGTCCTTTCCATGCTCTACTCTTGTGACTGATGATTTTAGGTCGTGTCATTCCCAGATCATTTTTCACTGGGCATCCTTTCCCTACATTTTTTGTCTTTCAAGACCATATTCACAAGATTTCCTTGGTACAGAATCAAGATTTTTGTCTTTCCACCTGCATTACCCCCACTCTTTTACAGCTGTAGCCAAATACAGTTCAGTTAATTGTAGTTCACATGCACTTGTAAAGGCAGGAAAGTTGAGGCCCCACAATATCCATTAAAATATTAATTATCATGCCTTAACATTAAAAACAAAAACAAAAAACAAACAAAAAACCAAAAGCAAACAAACAAAAACAAACAAACAAACAAAATTTCCTCTATTATTTGTATTTTTTTTTATCAGAGCATTTCCCAAGGGTTGCATTTGTTCCCTAAATGAAGAAATAGGAAGCAGCTTAAGGGCAGATCCATGAGGTTTGGGCACTGCCTCTACACAAGGAGATGGTTGTGACAGAGGTACATTCAGTCTTTCCTTAAATGCTTTTTTTAAGAGCTAAGTGTGTCTTGGCAGTATTTGCGCAGCCTGGGAAGACCACAAGCTTAATGACAAACAAGCTGTGATTGAGAAAATATTGGCGGTTAATAAAATTATTTCAAGTTCTCTTATCACACCAGTGGGGAGACTCTTTGTGCCTGTTAAGGGATAAGTGAGAGTGGAGCCCAAAAATCTGGGTGCTAAAGCTCTGAAAAGATGACCTGGGTTGTGCCTTTCCCTGATCTGTAAAACAAATATCCTTTGAAAAAGAGACATCAGCACAATGATAATATTCACTAGACCAGAGTTTGTTGTTAGTGATATCACGAACACAGAGATAATCCAGAAAGCTCCACGCAAAATTCCCTCAAGAGAAAGCAAAGATGAGAAGAATAAATAGGCAATGGCAACTATGGCAGTATGTAAATATTTTCCATGCAGACTGCTGGTGTCAGACTCTGGGACACAGAGTGACTTCCAGAGTGTTCATAAATATCTTTGGCTTTTATCGTATTTTATTAGAAGTTTATGAGAGAAAAATATGGGTTTGGCTGCGTATCAAGGTAGGAAAAGTTAAAAGGGAAACTGCAGCAAATTGCTGAGGACTGAGGGAGAAGTGAAGCTCTCTGTGGGATGGCATAAAGATTTATGAGCATTTTAGCAGTGTTCCTAAGGGGTTAATCTATGGATGACACAGGGAAAAGAACTCAGTGGTAAAGGTTTTATACTGTGCCACACCAGTTTGTATCCTCTTAGAGCCTGAGTTCATAAAAATGCTCAAGCACAGGCTTCTCTCCATCCCAAAATACTTCCATGCACTTTACTGGAATCATGACTTTAAGATTATTGGTGTCAAAATTCCAACTAATCATGTTAAACACATCCTTAAGTGTCTCACAGGCACTGTTTCCCTACTGAAGCTTAAGTGAGCAAACCAGCAGAGCAAAAAGCTGGAGTGCTTATCCATCCTGTAAGAAACATGTTCAATTATAAGTCATTCCCAGCCCCACAGGAATGAGGATTCCTACTGCAAATTCATAGAATCCCAGAAGGGTTTGGGTTCGAAGGGACCTTAAAGCTC